GATCTCTTATTCTATTTAATTTTCTAGGTCTTTCTATATTTCTTTTATTTCTATATCTTGATTTATTTTTTGAATTTGAGTAGTTTATTCATGTCTAACTATTAAATAATTTATAATTTCTTGTGTTTTATGTTTAAGTTCTCAAAAGCTTTTTATTTAGTTTAGTCAATTACTTATTCAATTTTTTTCGAATTATTTATATATCTATTTATCTAAATATTAAATAAATAAGAGAAATATATATATATATATATTTCTATTCGAAAAATATATTTTAGAAATAGAATTCCGACTATTTCAATATCAAAATTCATATTAAAATAAATATCTCTATTTTAATAATTCTAATTAAAATAATTGGAAATAAATCAAGAAATTATATAGAATTATTTATTTAATTTTATTCTTATCCATCCCGAATAGATTAATAATTAGAATCTATAAAATTGAAAATCCGAGATATATTATCAGTTCTAATTTTCATATCACCTTAAATTATGTCAGCACTAATATTTTCTAATATATTGAAGTTTGTTTTCGTGGCAATACACTACCGATCTGCCGGATGCAAAGGTAAAAAACGTTTGAGGGGCATGTAGATTCTCATCGTGCCGACAGACTTTAACAAGCACTATATCGTGAAGCGCATCAAATATTCGGACGGTGCAAGGATTTTCTTTCGCGCTCGAAATAAATTGCATCCCCGTCGTGGAAAGCACAAGCCTTAGAGAATCTTGCTGGTGATAGTAGCCTTATGTAGCCTTCACAACACGAATACTTGTAGGCATACTTGCTAGTAGTGTTCGTCTCGGCTTTTAACCAACTGCCACAAGAAGTTGTTGCTTGCAAACGATACTGACATCAAAGAGAAGCCAGCCATCGCTGTCGGGCACGCATGAGAATGTCTATATGAACACCTCGGCTTTTTTCGTCAAACGCAGCCCGCTTGAGCTGGTGCGCTACCTTAGGCCCAACGTGGCACAGAAAGTTTTCGGCAAAAACTCTCCGATCACGACTGACAAGGCGCTTGAAGGGCTCGATGCCCCTGACCTCCAGCCGACCCGAGACCTGTTCCTGTTCAGAAAGCACGGACGACACCTGTCCTGTTCGGGAACGCGGCGCAGTTCTTCAAGCTCGCGGCCTAGATGAGGGTTTTGCGCAAGCGCAGGACGGGCACCACGGTGCCGTCATCACTCGGTTGCGACAGGTCTTCGATAAACTCATAGCCGCAAGCTTCATAGAGCGGTCGACCGGCCGCAGTGGAGCCCATCTCCATCGTCTTGAAGCCTTCGGCCCGAGCAGCGCCTTCACCGGCTTCCAAGAGGCAGCGCCCAATCCCTCGCCGGGTATAATCCTTAGGGGCTGAATACCCTAGCCCAAAAAAGGTTAACCTTTTCAATTATGGTAGGATTGTATAAACCCCCAAAGGTTAAAGGTTACCTCTTCAGCCACTAAGAATCGGGATGGGTGAACATGGCGCGAATCTTGGCCGGCTCGGTCGCTGGATCGGCCAAAGCATCATCGCGTCCACGGGTGTGATTGCTACCATACAGCGTGCGCCGCCGTGACCAGCCTCCACAACCTGCTAACGTGTCATCAATATAGACCAGGAAATAGGTGCCATCATCGACGAGTAATGTGTCGACACCCATGCTTTCATTCGATCGCTCGACTTGTTTTGCGTCGAGGAATTTCGGCAACAGGACTTGCATCGACGCCGTCATCAAGGACTCGATCGCCGGAATATCCTCTCGCGTTGCAATTCGCAGGTGCATGTTCCGATGTTTGCCTGAAATTATATCGCAGGATGCCCTGCGATGAGACAACGATGTGCCCTGTGCTGAGCGCTATGCTTTTTCCACGATCCCAAATGCTTGCGCACCAATCCTGAAGCCCCAAACACTTCTGCTGCTGCTGCTGCCACTACTAGTATTGGGGCCTTAGTAATTAGAATAGGGTTGAGGGGCCCAGTATACTATAGTTATAATAAGGAGCCCCCCCCAAAATAGCTTCTTCTTCTTCTTGTGGTGCTTGTCCCAGCTATCTGCAGGTCTTGGCTTGAGGTCACAGTGCGAGCGATGCCGCGGACATGCAAGATCCCTGTAAAACGTAGCGGGCTTAGGGTTTAGGGGCCATGATGAGTGGTTGCAGCTTATGTTTCAAACTTGCGGCACAGGGTCAGATGCAATCCAACTGGTTGTTGGCATTTTGGGCCATGAGCAACTGACAAGACAAGATAAATCCTAAATCCTTACCCCGAAACTCGAAACTTTCACCAGCGGCCTAAATCCTAAACCCTGGGTGAAGCGTCAGCATTCGGAAGCTGCCCAAATTGAGTCGAGGCCCTTTGAACCCTCGAAAGAGCCTTTAATGGAACTCTCAAGGAATTGAAGGAAACCTACCTGATTTGTTGGGTTTTGGGTTTAGGATTTAGGGTTTAGGGTTTAGGGTTTAGGGTTCAGGGTTTCGGACAATGTCGAGTGCAGCAACACAGTGGATGCACGTCTCAACTTTTTCAGGTCGCCGTGGCTCACATCGCCTCGCTGACGGAAGCGCTGTCCTTCTTGTCCATACCTGGCGCACAGCTTTCGGCAAAAATTCAGATCTGTGTGGACAATCAGGTCTTCGAACAATGGAGAAAGCTGAAAGCTTATAGTCTACTTATAGTGAACGTAAACAAAAGAACATCCGATCCCCGAGCCCAGAATTCCACCCAATTCCTTCACAACAAAGATTCATTGCGAAGTTAAGCAGCGAAAGCTGTGGAGCAGTTTTCTACCGAGGCTTTGTTGAGTTTGGCCTCTCCGGGTCACTTCCGGAGTCTGATCTCCGGCTTCTCCCACGTAAGGTTCGGGCTTTCAGGTTTAGGGTTTGGGGTTTAGGGTTTAAGGAATTAACTTCCAGCATTCGAGAAGTTCAGCGAAGATAAGAGCATGCCTTATCCTGCATTTGTTTAGAATATAACTCGCGAACCAACCAATGAGCAATGTGTGCCAAAAGTATTTGCACAGCAAGTGCGGTTTAACTGAGACATCCTGAACCAGTCAGCGTGGGAGAAGCCGTCCGGCCCTGTGTCTCACGTGAGACGCGCCAAGGGCTGGCTCTGCGGATAAGATGCAATGCTTCCGTTCAGACCTTACATTCGGAAAACATCCGAGCCACATGAGGAAACGGGTTCCCGAAAGAAGTACAAAACGAGCTTAGCAGCTTGAAAATCCTGAACCCTAAACCCTCAGATCCACTGAGCCAGGATCCTGGCGCATAAAGGCTGTTCGAAGCGACGGGTGATAACTGCACCCCGGCTGTTGCCAGAGGTTACTGAGGAAACATGACCCAACATTGTAGGCGATGCGCTTTAGGGGCCATGTAGTCCTCAAGGATTTTGGGATTGTCCAGCCAGCTTTTGGAGCATGTGCATGTTGGGAGAGGTCGATTTGTGTTGAACTGATTTTCTTGCCTAGAAAGGATAGGGGTTTAGGGGTTTAGGAGTTTAGGGGTTTAGGGGTTTAGGGGTTGAGGGGTTTTTAGGGGTTTTTAGGGGTTTAGGGGTTTAGGGGTTTAGGGGTTTAGGGGTTTACGGGTTTACGGGTTTAGGGTTTAGGGTTTAGGGTTTAGGAATACACGCGTAGGCGCAAGACTCTCCAGCTGCGGTTACCAGTCTGGCTGTGGGTGTTCGAGTTGCTGGAGCTAGGGTTGAATTGCTGTCCACCAAAGCCTTTCAGAGTCCCTCAATTAGAAAGCCAATCTCTTTCTGCTTGCAACTGCCAGGCGCATGTCGGCGGTAGGCTGCGGCAATTCTTCCTGAATGTCTACGTAGAAACGCAAGGCAAAATGCATATTTAGATTGCCATCCTGGAGCCGAAACGCCGAACAGCAATCCTCGCACCTTGCTTGTAATGCTGGCGAATTGCGGGCGGAATTGCGCCCGGCTCTAATCCCGATCCACCGGCGCAATCGAAGTCCACAGTCCCAGGTTTGTCAATCGTTGGTGGTAGTCTTCGGCTGCCTGCACAGCACCGAAGCAATCGCATGGACGTTAGCACACGTCGCTGTGTCACTAACTTCATGAGATCTGCTCCCGAAGTGTTTGCGTGTATAAATAGCCTGCCAGCTTCATGTATCAGGTGCATACGTCAGGGTAAAGGCTGTCGTTGGTCCCAGCACCATAAACCCTAAACCCCTAAACCCTAAACCCCCAAATCCTAAACCCCTGAACCCTAAACGCTGAACCTGCCCTGTGTGTGCCTTCTTGAAGGAGTTGATGACCTCAGCGGAAGCCGGGTCTGCAAGAATAGGGTTTTCGGGGCCCAAAATACTATAATTATAATAAGGAGCCGCCAAACTAGCATCAGTAATTATAATGAGGAACCCCCAAACTAGTATCAGTAATTATAATAAGGAACCCCCAAAATAGTATAGGTCATTATATAAGCCCCTATGATGTTTGTTCCGGTGCTGAGCGGTCTTTGGGGCTGGTCCCAACTATCTGCATGGTTCTCAAAGGTAAAGCCTTTTTTTGTAAGGGTGCCGCGCTACTTCTGAGGACCTCAACAGGGACTCTAATTCGAAAGCTGCCCATCTACTGAAGGTCACATCCCGTTACTAGCATCCCCTTCCTGAGCTCGAACGCAAACCGCTTGCATCTCACGAAGCCTAAACCCTCAACCCTAAACCCTAAACCCTAAACCCTAAACCCTAAAACCCTAAACCCTAAACCCTGAAGGGAAGCCGACTTCTCCTGTACGAAGCCCCACAAAGCACTAGGATGTAGCCCTGACTCCGCGCAACTCGGAGTTGGGCCACAGCTGTTCCCACCGGATTTGCCATGGCGCTTGCCTTTGCGGGGAATTTTGGCGGAATGACTTCAGTCACCGGACGTGTGGCCGTGTGGTCTTTGCTGTGTGGCCGTCCGACAGAGACTCAGAGTGAGAGCGGGAACAATTTCAAGGGTCCGGTCTAGGGCTTCAGTGAAAAAACAAATATATAAAAAATAATATATATATATATATATGTTGTGAACACTGGGATTCCATCTTGGGCCGTTCGTGCGAACAGTTTAGTGAACACTTGATCTGAGAAGGGGTGACGGGCTGCTGGCATAGAAGGTCGCCACAGGCAGAGCTAGCGTCCTGCTTGACAGGCTTTGGGGTCTGCTTCTGCTTCTCGCTTTCTGCACATCGGCATTCAGCTTCCGAGCACATCGCCGATTCACAACTGTTTAGGGTTTAGGGTCTAGGGTTTATAGGGTTTAGGGCTGCGAATGAGCCTCATTGTGCCCCCAATCTCCGAAAACTCGAGACCAGAGTGAGCAGAGCTCAGGCGTCGGCGAAAAGGCGGCTCGAGACTTCGTAGGCTTTGCCGCGGGTAAGCAGAGGGACACCTTCTGACAGCACCTGACGGTTTAGGGTTTAGGGTTTATAAGGGGTTTAGAGTCTAGGGTTTAGGGTTTAGGGTTTAGGGTTTATAAGGGGTTTAGGGTTTAGGGTCTAGGGGCCTGGGCTTTGGATGAAGGGCTCGTCAAAGCAACCAGTCTGTATCGAGTATTCGCCCAACCAACCCTAAACCCTAAACCCTAAACCCTAAACCCTAAATCCTAAATCCTAAATCCTAAACCCTAAACCCTAAACCCTAAATCCTTAACCCTAACCGCTTTCTTCAGGTTCGAGACTTGGGACGGCTTTGACTCTTGCTTGGATTGCAAAAGGCCGCATGGGCCTGGTCCCACTTTCTACGAATATGGGGGGTCTCCGAAAATAGGGGACCCCAATATAGTACCCTAAATAATAGGATTCTTATTATAACGACCCCAAAATAAGGTATCCTGATTTTCGGAAACTCCCATATCGGGGCCTTAATAATAAGAATAGGGATTTTGGGGCCATTTTACTAAACCTATAGTCTCCATTGTAGTTCCTTTTTGTGGATACCTTATAAAATCCTTGATCTATAATTGGTTAAAACAAAAAAGGAACTACAATGGAGACTATAGGTAATAATAAGAATAGGGATGTTGGGGCCCATTTTACTATAATTATCATAAGGAGCCCCCAAAATAGTACTGAGAGTTATCTATTCCGCTAGGTTAGGGCCCCTGAATGCCGCGAACGGGTCGTCAAGGCTCAAACTTCTTTGAAGTGCCGGGGCGACTCGGCCGAGGCGCGCAGAATCCCACAGGCTCAAATTGCAGAGTCAGCCCTAAAACCCTAATATAGCTAATATACTTGGAGGGTCGGGGGACTTAGTAAGTGGGTGCTAAGTAGACTTATAAGTACCCTAAAAGGGATCCGAATTGGGGTTACGATACTTATAACTCTATAAAATACATACTTACTAAGTCCCCCGACCCTCCAAGTAGGGGCCTTAATAGAGTTTGTGGGTATAGTATACTAAAGCCCTAATAGAGGGGCGGGCCTGAATAGGGTTTGGGGTATAGTATACTTTAGTTATTAAAATAAGGAACCCTCAAAACAGTATTGGTAATTTTTAGGCGCCAAAATTAAGCTCCCTCGGTATTTTTTAGGCATCCCAGAAACCACTTCACGGTCGCCGAGCCCTGGAACGCTCGCATCAACAACGTCCTTCAAACTCTCAAACAGCCCAGAGCCGACAGAGGTCTGCCGCCAAACCCACACAGAAGCCCACTGGAAGAGAGTCATGCTTGGAAGGTCGGGGGACTTAGTAAATGGATTATAAGTAGACTTATAGGTACCCTGAAAGGGAAACTAATTGGGGTTATGATGCTTATAAAACTCCATAAAACAACTACTTACTAAGTCCCCCGACCCTCCAAGTGAGGTGGGTCCAGCCTAGATAAGAAAACACTGTGGGAAGGTGACATAAACATGTAGAGTTGGCAACAGTGTTGCTTGCAGTTCCTTATGATCGGCACACTCTACATAAACCCTAAACCCAAAACCCTAAACCCTAAACCGCTATGTTGACTATGGAGACGAAGACTCCGCCTCACTCGCCCCAACACCCAGCTGCCCCCAAACAACCCGGAGCCACGCACATCCCTCGGAAGTCCATGGCACCAGCCCTAAACCCTTGGGTTTAGGGTTTAGGGTTTAGGGTTTTAAACCCTAAACCCCTAACTACAACTTCCCCTCCAACAACTGAAGAACAAATCAGAGGGGACGCCTTGGCCTTAGGAACTTCTTGCAATTTGAATGAAAGAAGAGGACCCCGAGAGCCTAAAACCCCTTAATTAAGCCATATACCTTAAACCATAAGGGGCTGATTATTATTATTATTATTACTATCATAATCATTCTTATTACTAGTGTCATTATTATTATGATTTAAAGTATATTCCTTAATTAAGGGGTATTGGGCTCTCTGGAGAACTCTCAAAGCCCAAGCGATGCGAGGCTTGGCCAAGAGCCCCTTGAGCTCCGGACCCTAAACCCTAAACCCTAAACCCTTGAGCTCCGGACCTCGGCGTACTGCTCCAGCGTCAAAGCGCACTTCCCGTCCTCTTCAGGGTTTAGGGCTCAGGGTTTATAGGGTTTAGGGCTTATAGGGTTTAGGGCTTATGATAGGGTTTAGGGTTAAAGGTTTAGGGCAAAAAAGGG